TTTAATTCTAAATACTCATATGATTTAAAATGTTTCCTCTTCATGTAACATGTAATCCGAAGTTTTTTTTCTTAAATTATCTCTATTTCGGCCGTATTTCACGCTATTTTATTGTCCATAGGCAATAATTATAGGGGAATCTTTGTTCTTTGAAAGTGCCCTTAGTAGGATCTATGCGACTTGAACGGTTTCACTGCTAAGACATCTTAAAGTCAATTTTTACTGATTTTAGGTTTTACGTTCTAGGTTACGATTCTACGTTTACGTTTAAATGATTAGGAAAAATTTAAAATCAAATGGCGTGTAGGTACTTAAGATTAAAATTAAGAGCTGAAATTTGGTGAGAATTTTTTTTCCAATGTTTTGAACAATATTTCGTCAATGGAACAAAAAAAATGTAATTTTTCAAACGACGCACGCTAATATACAGCAACTTCACATAATTTTAAACCATGTCTAATCTTAAAGTGTGAATTTATTAGTTGCCACTAAAGAAACCGTTTGTTTCCCAAATATCGTAAACGGGTTATTTCATTTTAGTACAATACTAAACACAAACCATTACTTTTATTTGAATCAATGAAGGGAATGTATGTTTATGTTTAAAACATTGCCAAGACAGAAAAAAAGATAATTTAATTAAAAAGAAAATCAAATAACTCAATAAATGAAACGTAATTACCTGTATTTGAGGGTAACATGACACCGTATATTCGAGTAGAGCTTGCTGTACCTGTTCGAAGCCTTCTTGGACATGCTTTCTGTTTGTGATGCCTCGGACATCTAAAATTTAAGAAACGTTAGCTTGCGGGTCAATAACGGCAAATAACATACGGTTTGTTTTGTTAATTGAGAACCGAGACGCTTTGTAGGTTAGGTTAGGTTACGTGTCGGATCTCACTGAAATATTATTCACTTACCTGGATTTAGCAACAACAGGAATTTAATACAGATGTAATCGCTGACGTCGAACTTCAACTCCTGCAGCTTGGCGGTGATATCGTTGAAGTGGTCCGCCAGGCTGGGTACGCCGAGAAGGCCCAAACTCAGCAGGTCGAACTTCTGTCCGTTGTGTAGGGTGGTCTCGTCGGGCAGGTTATTGTGCATACGCTGGTGTATGTGATCCAGAACCAACATGTCCGACCACGAGTGCTGGAGAAGCTTCATCTGATCGTCCACCTAGAAACCGATAGAAAGTTTTATTAACCGAGCGCAATCGTTCGGTCGCAGGACATACTGTACACACGACGTCACAGCTTGGGGATGACGATTCCAATGTCTGTGGAACAGAAACAAGGGAAGCTGTAGAAAATCATGATTTTTTGTCTAACGATAAGGAATTAGAAAAGTTGTTTGCGGTTTTTTGGTTTTGGTATTCCTCTAGTAATTACGTACAAACATTATGTTCCTACATAACATTTGCATTAGCAAAAATATTATCGATGATATCCAAATTTACCAAACAGGAAAATCAGGTGCTAAATTTTGAGAAATTGCACAAGCAATTCTTGTATCAAAAACCTCAAGATATTCGTTTATTGGAACTATCTTGTTTTTTTCTTGATTTAATGCCAAAAAAACTCACTCTAGGTCTAGCACAATACTGTAGAATGACATGTTTTAGATTTCAAACAAAAAAATTGTTAAAACAATTCTTACCGTTTTACAAAATAAAGCTAAACAAACATAACCTCATAATTTATTAGGATTTAAATCATTTTGTGTTTCATTGGTATGTTTTGAAATTACTGACTGTTTTTTTAATTGTTTTTATATTTGTTAACATCTGTTAGAACTTTTTGTGTGTGGTAAATATACCTATTTAAGGCTTTTTTTAATAATGGATAATGAAAAGTGAATTTCAATTACCCACCTTCATATTTTCATAGCAGTTATAATATAATGAGATTGTCCCTTTACTACGAGCACATATTACTTACGAGTGCTTCAAGTACCTACAAAATTTTCCTTGAAATGTAAAGTAGAAAAGTCTTGAATACTATCATTAACGAACTGTTTACTAAGTTTTCCATTTTTACAAAAATAATTCACTTTAAATAAAGAAAATACCACAATCTTCTACAAAATTAGTGGGTTTGTTTACATTTTACCTGCTTTCATNCCTTCGTATTTTCATAGCAGTTATAATATAATGAGATTGTCCCTTTACTACGAGCACATATTACTTACGAGTGCTTCAAGTACCTACAAAATTTTCCTTGAAATGTAAAGGAGAAAAGTCTTGAATACTATCATTAACGAACTGTTTACTAAGTTTTCCATTTTTACAAAAATAATTCACTTTAAATAAAGAAAATACCACAATCTTCTACAAAATTAGTGGGTTTGTTTACATTTTACCTGCTTTCATTAAGTTAGGTACAAAAATTTCCACTAGAGGTCGGGACGCTTGGTTTGAATTGTGATAATGAAAAATATGTGACCTTCATTTGGCTTCTTATTTGTTGTTATTAATGATCTGGACACCTATGCACCAAAGAAATAAATAAATGTTTACTGTCTCTGTTTTCAATTTGATAACAATTATTTATAATTGTTCCGCCACTCGGCTGTTCCCTCCAATTCTCCCCTCCATTTTCTGATTTTTTGAGGGAGTGGGGAGGGGAGACGCTTGTTTCTTGTTTCGTCAGAATATAAAATTAGGTTAGGTCAGACGGTTAGAGTAGTGTAAACAAACGTGAGAAAATTAGTGCGAATTGTCTAAATTAAATTGCTGAAACAAGTACAATATCAAACCATAGTTTTTCTGAACCAATCAGTGCCCCATAATTACCCTGTCTGCTAGGACAGACCAGAAAGGGAAGGTGCTACGAACACATTCAAACAATGGTCCCTCTAGAATTCTAGTTCTAGATTCGCGGGATTAGCAGCAAATATTGCACAGCCACAGCAGACAGGCGTGTAACTGCAGGACGTCAAGCAAAGCGGTAACCACGAGGCTGAGAATCTCTCGACATCAAATTTAAAGCAGCGAGTTGGTCACAAGGTCAGTCCCTTCCTTTTGTCCTTTTCCAACCCATACATATCAGCTATAAGCTCCTCGCTTATTCAGAACAGTTTTTGTTTGTTTACATTTAACAGTTGTTATACGAATGATATACGTTTCAGGCACGCGGTAGACTACAATCACGAATTATTTTGTGCGACCGATAAGTACTAGTTTAGACAGTAGTTAGTAGTTATTAATTGCGTATGATGAATGAGAAAAAGAAAGATATATTGACGTTTGTTGTGCACTTAAATTGTAAACACACATTTCCCGCGTTCTGTGCTGTCACAGATGGGTTTTCTACGAGTTCTGTGGAATTGGTGACAGAATTTAAAATGATTTGGAGATCTCGAAAGAGCTAGCTGAAACGCATTTTGAATAATATTCATTTAACATATGAAGTTCTATACTCTCTTAAAACTAAATCGAAACGGTTCTGGGTTCAAGGCCCTTAAACCCTCTATCCAATGATCCCCAAGACCTTGAGGCTTTGACTCATAATTAGAGAAAATCGAAATTTTAACACCCTGTATCTTTTTAACTAAGCGCCCTAGATTAAAATTTTATACAGTTGACTCCCCTTAAAATTCACTAAAGAATACGAGGTTCATTTTAGGTCACCGTAGTGGCGTGTGTGATATGTTTTATGACTTCAAAACCTACACTTCTCCCATCTCGAGAGTAAAAAAATGTTTCTTTTATAAAGAATGCTTTGAAAACAAAACATCCACCACATTGCCACTGTAAAAATTAAAATAATTAAAAATGCAATTTTCACAAGAGCAAAATATGCCTCCAACTTATCAGTTAATCAATTTGAGGAATATCCGGCTTTGTTTCATGTGAAAACTGCGTTTTTAATTATCTGGATTTTGATGCTGACCATAAAAATTTAACAGAACTGTGAAAATTTCGTTAGTCAATCAAGATTCGGCTCGAAAAACGTGCATACCACTCTGTAGGTACACAAATACAAACGCAACAACGACAAACTATTTAGAAGCGTTTGTTGAAATGAAATAATAAAGAGTGACTCATCGCTCTGTTCAACAAAGTTAGATCGCACCGGACTTACTGAACTTGGCCCAAATTTGCAATTCGTTTTCACTTTCGATTATTTGCTCATTTTACATAATCTTACTACACACAGCGCTCGGCTCTCGCTCCAATCGTAGTGCCGTCTTTGTCGCCGTCACGCAACGCGAAACAAGTTTTAAAATATTCATTTTGTTTGACACAGTTATTTTATATTTACCAAACGACGCCGATTCCATTCTGGATATCTGGGTTGCTGCGTGACGAAACTACGTCTAACGTCAAGTGAAACACGGAAATTCGGATGGAGAAGAATATTTTTTTTAAATAGATTACAGACAAAAACGTTAACTAATAAAACTAATCCTACTTCTGTTACGGCTGCTAGACTTTAGAGTCAAATGTCACCCCACAAATGACGTCATAAACAGGGCACAGGGCACCTTGGTTTACGGAATCCAACTTAAGCTATTTATTCTTAAGAAAAGTTGGTAACCCGTAAACAATTCCTATATTATGTATGTGTGAAACCCGTCAGAGGATGAAGAAAACGGTAAGAACCACTGAACGCTGACCAAAGAGTAATGTTATGCGTCTGCGTGTGGGAAAAACTGAGCGCTCCAGGGAGCAGGGTAATTAAGAGGTGTGCGGTGCGATGTGCATGAGATAGACACGTATAAATAATTGAATTGTTGCAAATATTATCACTGTATCACCGTTTGAAGTTTTTTTTTTTTTAATTAGCATTGCAGCTAAGTGAGGTCAAATATCCCCTTTTTTTCTGCAGCGTT